TCTCAAATTAGAATTATCATGTCACATTATTTTATTGGTCACAGATCCAAAAATTACGGTGCAGAGTTATCTATCAGTCATATATTTTCAAATTTATTAGTCACAAATTAATTTTTAATCACAATTTTAAGGTTACAATTAGATTTTTTGTGTGACCACCACCGGCTTTTGTGACCACCCCCGAGACCACCACCGACTTTTGTGACCACCCACCAGACCACCAGCGACTTCTGTGACCATCACCCCCGTTGTTGCCAGAACCAACAGCACCACCCCGTGACCACCACCGACTTGTGTGACCACCATCATCACTAAATCCACCTGCACCACCACTAATAAAAAAACCCCTAAAAACCACATCCATCTCCACCACCAACCACAAACCACAGATCCGCAATCACCAACACCGCACAATCACCGACCACAAAATCACAGATCCACAATAAGTGTAAAACCCCAAAACACGGAACCATCACAGATCTGCAACAAAACCATTTACAAAGATTAGCATACAACCACCATAGATCTGCAACCATCAGCAAAAATTAGCATACAACCACCACAACCATCCGATAAATCAAACTCAAAAACTAAAAAAAAAAAGGAACTAACAGATCTACACCGTTTACGAAGATATAAGAGAGCTGGACTTACGTGACTTTCTGGCAATCGTCGGCGATTGACTACAAGGGGGGCCGTCGCTACTGGGTTGGGGCAATGGGTTCCATAAAGTGAAAGAATAAGGTGAAGCGGAAGACGACACGTCACCGGCGGAGCAAGAAAACAGAAATAAAGTGCTGAGAGAGTTGAATTCTTTGATTTCGGGCCCACAATCCTCGACTGATGATGCTGTTGATGAAGAAGTGACTGATACAGAGTGGTTCTTTCTAATCTCTATGGCTCAGTCCTTTGTTAACGGGTCTGTGCTTCCCGTTTAGGCCTCGTACAGAAGAGATGAGAGTGGAGAGGTGGGGAATAAGCGACGGCTGCCGGGGGTGGAGAGAGAGAGAGAGAAGACGAGAGAGAAAGAAGAGGGGTGGCGGCGGCGGCATTGAGAGACGGGAGGTGAGAGTGGAGAGGAAAGGAGATTGGTCCAAATGATTTTAGGGTTTGGTTCGGTTCAAATGATTTTATTGTATATAGATATAAAAATAAAAATAAAAAAATATTTTTAAATTATTAATTAAAACCTGATTTTTGAAATGTTAAACTTGTGATTGGATTTGTGAAATTGAAAATCTAATTACAGGTCTATGTGTAATTTCCTCTTCTATTTGTTCTTGAGGAAAAAATCATATCTCATGCCTTAAATTTATGACAATTCAGTTTTAAGAGAACAAGTTTACTTTTTTTAAAACTCAAGTTATAATTAAATTCTATTAATTAAATTAATAATTATATATAAAATAATTCCAATCTCTTTCCAGTTCGGGTCACAGTCACCGCTATCTACCCGTCGTTATTCTCTCTTACGGGTGATATCCATTCTCATAGTCACTGGCATCCAAATAATTTTGTCGGAGAAAAGATAGAATCTATAAAGATTGCCGGCAACTAAGCATCTTCTTCCGCAATGAATTAATTGTTGCTCAGCGATTATTGAGCATCATCGGCTCAGATAATAGAAAGAGAGAAATATAGCGACCATTGAGGAACATCGACTGAGCATTACTAGTAATTGATCATCTTCTTCAACAGCGACTGAGCATTGCTGATGTAATTTAAATCTATTTTTAAAAAATGAAAATTGAAAAACAGCCACTGGTGTAATTTATAGAATACTCACTGAATCGAATAACTTCAATTCTAACAACTGAAATCTAATTAATTGAATTTGTGACCAGTTTGAATAAATCAATGTCATGTAACCAATTATCAAGAATCTAATTAATATGTTATTTGTGGTGTTGTTTAAATGGCATGTGGTCAATT